AGTAAACTTCTTCGCCGCGTCAATTTGCAGTTGCAGTCCCTCAGGGGTGTCCGACACACCGACAAAATCACCCGCAAACAGCATTCCTGAAACCGACGTTTCCGTGTCCCCTACTTTTACGCCCTTCCGGACTGCCTCTACGACTTCCAACAGATCGTTAATGAACACCTGGAACAATGTTGGGGACAGCGTGCAACCTTGTGGGACCCCCTGCTCAATGTCGAAGAATTTAGAAAGTTGTCCGTCTAGCATGACCGCGCTTTTCGTACACTCTTGTCATCTTCTTCAGCACTCTCCACATTTTGCCCTTGATCCCGTATTTGGGCAGTTATTTCCACCGCCCATTTCTCCATACGCTGTCGTATGCCTTTTTCACTTCCAGGAAGAAGCAGTTCGTCGGCCTTCCCGCCCCCTTTCTACCTTGGATGATTCTCCCTACTGTAAATGCGTGGTCTACGCACCCCTTCTTCTTTCGGAAACCTGCCTGGCCCTCACTAATGCTATGTTCCTTCTCCAATACACCCACTATCCTATCGTTCAGCAGCTCACAGAAGGGATTTTGTTCTCTGCGGTTCGTCGGAACGGGGCTCCAGGTTTGGAGAATATGAACAGGGATAATGGTGTGTGGACAGCGACACGGTCGATCCTGCTGATATGAGGAGCGGCGCAGGAGGCTGGCGGTGCTGGTGGTGCTATCGCCGCCCACAGCAGCAGTGATAGTGGACATGTGACGAATAAATTCGCCCCAGTTTGTAGGTGTATGCATGTCATATTCAGTAGTGCAGTCGTACCTCCAATACATAGTAGAGGGTCGAAGGCCTTTGTCACATCTCCCTCGTATGTTGGAGCCACGACTACGTCAACTGTACCACCAGTCTGTGGCCGACGGCGGTGGCGGCGAAACAAGAAACTGAGCCTTCGAAAAACTGGACTCGACACCGACTGCTGTGACGTTTCTTGGGTGCGGACCCCAACTGCTGCAACAACCGCTGCTGCTTGCTGCTGTCGCCCCCACACCGGTGTGATTGACACTCACCCACTCACCCGCTCACTCACTAACTCCCTCACTCACTAACTCCCTCACTCACTAACTCTCTCACTCACTAACTCCCTCACTCACTAACTCCCTCACTCACTCACTCACTCACTCACTCACTCACCCTCTCTTCTCGTGCTGTCCACTGTTTCTTGTTGTGTGTGCCTGCTATTCACGACGACAAAGACACAATACACATACAAAGACGTTAATTGAAACCTTAAACCTGAACCTTGTCCGTAACCAGGGAATCCGACATGGGCGAGCCCGCGGCCGTGCCGTCGCCGGACGCCGGCGAGGCCTACGCCGGGATGGTGGACCGCATGGACGCTCTGGAGCAGAGAGTCATGTCCATGGAGATGGAAGGGGGAGGCGCGGAAGAGGGGAAAGAAGCCCGAGAACCTGTTGCCCCTCCCTCTGTTCCAGCGGGATAGAGAGAAAATGGTGCTTCACTCCTTCGAGTCCGGTGGGGTGGATAGGAGCCTCCTTTTCATTTTAGCAAACTTGTTGTTGTACGTAGGTATCAACGTGTACACGAGAGCACGCGTGTGTGCGAAGTGTACGTGCCATGCTCGTGTTTTTTTTTTTCTTTCCGCAGACGCCCTTGGGGGTCGCGAGGTCTGTCTCTCCCTCCGTAACCTCCCAAGCACACAACCTACCACTGCCACACACCTCCTCCGCTGGTTATGGACTTGCCAACACCCGACGTCGACGGATACAAGGCCGGTAACACAACGACCTGCCACGATGACGGACACCGTTTGCTTGTCGTAGGCCGTTGTGTTACCGGCCTTGTATCCGTCGACGTCAGGTGTTGGCAAGTCCATAGCTAGGGGTGGCGTGGAAGCGGTAGGTCGTGTGCTTGATTGGAGGGAACGGAGCGCTGTAGAGCCGGCGGGCCACACGTTGGGGAGGGAGCAGATAAGTACTGCCGGGTCATTTTTTGACTCATCATGGAAACATGCCAACCCCGTCAGCAGAGTATTTCGAGGCAGCTGACGACTGATCCATTTCATGGTCTGCAAGGCTAGCCTGCCCCCTTCTCTGCCCCTTTCTTTGTCCCTGTCTTTGCCCACCGCCCTGTTGCGGGCTGCTCGTATGGCCTACAGTTCCAACGATTGTCCCGCCGATTTTAGTTGACCGGCCATAACTTCATCAATATTAACTTTTTTCATTTTTTTTTTTTTTAGTGTTGATCTCCGTCGCAAATGCCACAAGAGTTGTTCGGGGACCAAATCGATTTGAGACGTTCCTGAGAATTCGTGGTTTTCGTATAGGTTTTTCCAGGCGTTTTTTGGGAGGAGGGGATGAAACGTTTCGGCCAGTATCTCGCCAAACGCTGTCATAATCATGTCGTTTTTTTTTTGTTCTTGATTGCTAACGGCGGGGTTTGACCAGACGAACACGATGGCGCCCTAAAAAAATAAATACAAAGACTTTATTACTATATTTACCCATTTAAAGAGGGGCACAAGAGATTGTACCCCCCTTTTCCGGTCGCAAAACTAGGTGGCAACGCGTGATGTTTGGTTGTTTTAGCTTCATCGTCGGGAAACCTCGCTATTTACACTCGTCTACTTTCACAATCGTACACAATACACGTTAGTCTACAGTATGTACATACATACAGTACAGTATGTACATACATACAGTAGTACATCACGCTCAATACCGATCTCATTGACCGGGAAACGCAGCCGGTCTGGGCGAAAAAAAAAACACAACGAACTCCCTGGAAAAAATGGCACCGACCGAAGCCAAACTCGAGGTCGTTCTTCCGAACCCCGTACATACGTACCGCCGCGATCATAGCATACACTACTTGGGGTTAATGTACTCGGATGGAGCTGGCTTACGGTGCGACTTGCATTTCTCTTGCGCCTCTACCGCCTCGGCGCCCGTAAGCCCGGCGTCGTACACCGCGTGGAAGTTGGCCACCTTCCTGCAGAACTTTTGAACAATGTCTAGGCTCAAGTTGTGTACCCCGTAGCTCTTAGAAACGTTCTCTCGCAAGCACGCGATAGTGTACTTGCAGTTCCTACGTACCCACCACTTAGATCTACCCCACACAAGCTCGATCGGGTTCAACTCGCAATGGAACTTTGGAAGCATGAGCGCAACCCCTCCGTGGCGCTTCAGCAGAACCTCTAGGCTAGAGTCGACGTTCGCAAAATCCTTTTGCGCGCGCAACACCGCCGGCATGCTCATCTTCTTGTTAGGCTCCTGGCCCGTCTTGCCCCCCGACATGGTCATACCTGGGATCCAAAGCCCCCTCTCAAACAGGATTTGCTTCATCCCCTTGACCTTGCCTACGTGATCGGTGGCGCCTGGCTCATAGAATGGATACTCTCCCTGCTGGAAGGTGAGGTGCTGCACCGCCCCTACCTTCAGTTTAGGTGTGTCTTCCAGTATGGTAGTTGCATTCTGAGGAGCTATCTCCTGACCCTTTCTCACCCCCCCGTACCCTGCGTTCATCCTAGTTACACTCGGTGCCCCCTCCTCAACGCAATCATGACACGATGACCAGTCGAAAAAACAGATGGGCCTGTGCCTCGGGAACTTGACGGCCAACAGATCCAACACATCCGCCATGTGCTCGATCATCTTCTCCCCCGTCCAGTAGCCCTCCTTGTTCTTGCCGTACTCGAACTTGTAGTACGTCGAGAACTTGCGGTCGTCGCCCTCGCCCTCGAAGTAGAGCATGTTGATGTCGCGGTACTTTTCCGGCCTGGTGTGATCACCTGCTGCGTGCTTTTCCTCCGAAATGCGGCAGCGCTCGCGCCGCAGATCTTGGGCCTTGTCGATGTCGTCTTGAGTGCCCTCGACGAATCCGACGTCGCCTACACACACACCCCTGTTGCTCTGGCGCTTGAGAAACGCCGGTCGCCAGTCCTGCTCATGTTTCTCCACCTCTTGCGCCGCATCCAACATCGCGCTGGAGAGGTCCCGCACTTCCAAGCGGCCGCAGGTCACCTGGCCAAGCTCGATTCGCTCTCTGTATCTATCCAACATTGCGCGCAACCTCTTCCGGCCGAAGGTTCCCTTCGGTCGGCCAGCCCCTTCGTATCCTGGGCGCTTTGGAGGTGGTGTGAGGATCTCAGCCGCAGGCTGACAGTCTCGCGGCCTTTTTCCCCGCGGCGGCGGGGGTGTGTCGTTGCTGCCACGCCTCGCATCTTCTGTGGAGAGAACGGCGCTGCCGCTAGAAGAAGATGGCCGCCAGGCAGCAGCCCACTTTGCCTCGGCCGACCAGTCACGTGCCTTGGTTTGTCCCTTTGGGTACTTGATGTAGTCGCTGCGCCACATGCTGCTGGACCCATCCGACAGGTCTGCTGTCAGCTGGAGACGATACTTTTTCGCGCTCTTCACTTGAGTTACAAGGGTCAGCGTACCACCACGCCTAGTCAGGGCGTCCCTGATGGCCGTCAGCGCCTCGAGGCGAAGCGTGAAGGTCATGGGGCGTGCAGGGCGTCCACCGCCAACTTTTTGTTTTTCAGCCGTTGGGGCTGTTGTGGACATTTTTTTGAAAAAATCGGTTTAGGTTTTTTTTCGGGGCCTGCCCCAAAAGGTTCGGAAATGGAACCAACGCCATAAAATAGAACAGAAAAGGAGCTTCAATTATCTGCAATTTTTTTCGGTCGCAACCCCGTGGTTGTCGAGATATGGAGGATTTGGTGGGATGAAGTACCTTAGGTGGCGATGGTAATAGGCCCATAACTTTTGATCCAGAGCGTTGCGACCCATTTTGAAAGGCTTTTTCGAACGCCGCTGGCGAGAGCTTTCCAACGCATATTTGCTTGTCGGTCAAAATTTTGGGGCACGTGTTTATTTTTATTGTCCCGCCCCAAAACTGTCAGACAATCGTTGGAACTGTAGCGTGTAGGTGGAGATGGCTGGTGCGTGTACAGAAGTCACTATTGTAGGTGGAAGAGATAGCTGTTTCACCTTCTCCCCCCCCATTTTGTGATGTAAAAGGAAAGGTGTGTACAGTCGAATGGAACCTGAGGCTGACAGCAGTCCAGCCCTTTTGGCCGGGAGCCGGGAGTAGCCTAGACGCCTCTACCCGAGGTGAACTGTGTGGTACGTGAACCGACCCCCCGAAAACTTTAGTGCGGAGTAAACGTTCGAAGCCGATTTTCGTACGTGCGAAGGCCAGGTCGTAGGAGCTTCCTTCCGTGAGTGAGTGAGTCTTGTTCGCTTCAGCATACAGGTGGCCCGGCCACAACAAACTCAACAAGCGAAATATTTTTCTTGTTTGCCCCCCCGAGTGTGGTGTTGCCCTAAATCTGTCCTCTGTGATGAACCAGCACGGGGTCGTGGTGGGTAGCGGAGGACATCCGAGATCTTGAACTTCAAAGAAATGAACTGTCCAGTTGCCGAGAACTTCTCGAAGGCGCCATCATGTGTAGCAAATCAATTCTTTTCCATTGGCCCCAAAACAGCTGTCGTCGCCCTCTCACAAGACAAGATCACAGCAACAGTAATGTACCTGTTCATTACAATATTGAAAAGTCGCCCCTCGCTCTGCCCTCGGAAAAGATCAACTGTTATGATCAAGTGGAGATAGATCCCATCATCAGCAGGGGAATGTATCTTATGTCCGAAACATTCACCTGTGACAAATCCAACTGTCCACATAAAACTACCCTTCTGCAGGGCGCTGGTGGCCTTGTACGGAGCAGCCCGCAGAACGGGGACGACGTGTCCCTCCGTGCACGCCCGGCAGCAATCAATCTCCACGAGGAGCAGTGACGCCATCGACACAACAAATAAAACCGGCTCCAAACCCCGTCGTGACGAATGGATCTGCCACTTTGCTTTGTTCGGTGGGTTTGTGTCGTGAGGAAAACGGCTCTCTTCGCTGGGCTCAGTAAATCGGTCTTACGGGATCAAAAGCGGCGAAAGGAAAAACGTATGGTTGGTTGTGCTTTCATCCCGAGCGTGCGCGCCGTAACACACCCATCGACGGATGGCTGTGACGCGAAGAAAGCATCATCGCCGAGGGAACGGAAACCGGAGCAACATAACGAGGCGTAACAGATTTTGCGCAACACCTTAACACACGCGCGTGTTGCGCGTGTTGGGCGATGTCGGACGGGAAACCCGCCATATAATCGCTTAGGCAGAGGCATAGACTCCAAGCAATGCAGCGCAGAACACTCGGGGCTGCGTAGTGAAACTCGCCCGAGGGACCCAGAAAAGCCTCCGACTTGGAGAAATGGTCCGGAGCGCGGGACAAAACGTCTACGAGAGCCCCACAGACGCTGGGTGGCAGAAACACCAGAGCAGAGGGGGCCCCAGCTGAGCATTCCACAGGGAGGAATGATGCCCTTGTCTTTTTCTACCAGAACAACCAAGGAGGTTGGGGCGCGCGCGAGACGCCCGTCTCACTTACTATAGTAAACCGTCGAACGTGCTTGCCCTTGTGTGATGATGCCATCGCAGAACCTGTACCCATAGACCACGCGGCTACAATTCGCGGGCAACGGTCTGCTCAGCTCTGGTGCTCTCGACAAGAGCCTACAGCAGTGTCCAGCATATGGTTGTCATCGCTTGCAGAGTTTCAAAAGAAAGAAACCAAGTATCCACCGCCACGGAAAAAAAATGAAGCAGAGGCGCCTGGTGGGAGCCACCAAACCCAAGACATGGGCAAGCTGTGTGCAACAAGTGAAGGAGAAGCTTGAGCTTGGCCCGAAAAAAATCATAATATCCCATCATCGTTTGTGGGCTTCCGCCTTGCAGCAGGACAACCTCCCCCCCCCCCCCCCCCCCCCCCCCCCCCCCCCCCCCCCCCC